AATCCTTTCATTGATGTTTAAAACAGCAACACAAGCAAATTATTTGGCTTGTTCAAAGAAAATAATAAAGTTATTAATCCAAAATGTTTTTAAAGGACAGTCATCAAGGCAGTAGATTAATGATTTGATATCACTGAACAGCAGATTAAAGCAGCCAACCTTACACTAGGTATAATAGACACAAGTTAGAGCAAGTCTTAAACAGAATTGTAATTGGAACACAGTAAGAATTATCTAATTCTCTGCTAACATAAAGACATTACTAGTTACTCTGTTTTTAAGATTAACAAGTATGTATCTTCCAATTTTCACCTGGCTTGACCCTTGTGTGGCCTCTTCCCTATCAAGAAAGCAACACTGTTGTTGTATGGAGGATAGTAAGAAATTCAGAGTTTGTTTTGGCTTCATTTGAGGTGACTCATGAGGCACTGCTCTAACCTTGCTGCAGTTAAAAGATTATGTAAACCGATGTTTGTTAAGCAGAAAGTGTAATGTAAAAAGGCCTGGAAAGAGTTAGGAGTGGGTTAGGGTTTTTTCAGTAATTTTGTTTTAAAATATGGTTGGGATTCCTCCAATGCACTCTAAAAGCAGCTCCCACTTGACACTGGATGACTCGCCTCTTAAGGCATCCCTACTACTTCCTCAGCACAGCCTCCTTTTTAAGATGTAGAAAATGAGTCCTGGTGTCTTATTCATCACTTTGCAAGAACCCATGTACTTATATTAAAAACTTTTTCTTAAAGCAAAGTTACTATTTGGTGCAGGAGCAAACTGTTTTCATAACAGTAATGAAAATGATGAATCGGGAAAAAAAAGATTGAGTTTGGAGTTTAACTACATTCATTTTCAGTTTCATTCCTTAAAACAAATACTTGTCACAAGTGGATTAACAGTTTCATAATTAAAAAGAAAAGCTACCTGTGGCTTCAGCATAGGTTTTCCTTTCTCATTAATAGTACGTGCAGTGCTGCACAAATCAAGTGTACCAAGCTACAAGATAAAAGGAATAAGCCCTGATACCTGCTGCAGCGTTTTATATGGCCACTGGCTGTTCTGGAAGCTTTGTAAAAGCTTTTTTTTACTTTGTTTTTTAAGTTTTGCCAGTCCCTGAAAGGAGCCGTGGTGATTGTGCTCACTATCTGTCCAAAGAAGCAGGCCTGATTATTAATAAAAGCTTCAGTTACAGCCTGAAGTTGTGGCCCACAATTCAAAGGTATCAGTACTTAATTTCATTTGCAGACTGGATACTTGGCATAATTTGTTTTGATCTTTATAGCTACAGGTATTTACAAATAGGGTACCAAATAGCAGACCTGTGTTGTAAACTAGACTCCACCACCATATTTAGCACATGTGGGATTTTTCAGGTCATGCAATGCAAGGTCTGTGGAAACTATAATCCCATATAAACTGATGGCACATAGAGGTGGTTTGCATCTTGGATATAAAAGAACACGGATGACAAGATAAATACACGGGAAAAGTTTACAGTGTAGGTTGTGCTGTGATGTAGTTCTGGGCACACCTACAAGTTCAGCATCCTTACATTTGTCATGCAGAAACAGGACTACCTGTGATGTGTGAGTAAAAGAGACTCAGCATAAAGCGTTAACACTGTGTTTTCCAAGCTGATGTTGTATACAAGAGCAAATAATGTCGTCTAATTATGTTTCTGTTCTATGTCTGGGGAGAAAATGAGTTCGGAACTAGAATGCAGATACTCTGCGGCTATTCATGTCGGGGAGGGGGGTGTAGATTAATCTGGGATCTGCCACCCCTGACAGAATTGTTACAATTGTAGGGCCTTATCCTGCATTCTGCTGGACACATTGTTCCTTCCACTGTGTGCTGAGTATCAGTCCCAAAAACTGCATGTTTGCTTTTGCTGGGGTAAAAGCTGCATTAACCAGCACCAATGCCTTTGCTCATACGTTGGAGTGCTGTTCAGTAATGTGTGTGGTTGTGAAAAATTTGCAAAAGGGGGCATGTATTCCCCAACAGCCGGCATGGCTCTGTAATGCGCTGTGTGCTGCCATCTGTTAAGTGCGTGTTTGTGACGCAATGAAATAATCAGTGCAAATTAAAGCTCGCTCCAGCAGCTTCAGAACATCAATTCCTGCCTAATATTGTGCATCCCAAGGGATGCCTGTATCAGTAGTATCAGACTTTAGAAGTCACTAATGGGAGTCAATCTTCTGGCAAATCCACTGTCAGCTATCGCATATCAGAAGGCATATTGTTACGTGGCACTCATCTTGAAGGACGTGAGTCCCAAATAATTCCACACACCAGGAAGCCATTTACATGAAATACCCCAGTATCTTAGGTGATAGCTACACAGATAACTAATAGTTAAGTCAAGCATATTCCTTCTATATAACTCCAAGCACTGGTAAACGTCCTGTTGTCATAAATGGCTCAGTATACCAATACACTCAGTAGTAATCACAACATTACCCAGAGGCATGATAAGCAGAGCCACCCACGTTTACAGAAAATTCTGTATATTATTGGTTTTTGTTTTGCCTTAACAAAGAGGAAGCTAACCAAGGTATGGCCAACTAAACAGCAACACCTCAGACTATCTCCACCAGAACTGAGGAATGAAGTAGCATCCTGCAGCTTCCTGCTCTAACTGAATGGTGCTTCTCAAACTTTTATCCCTTTCTTCCACATTCAGTGCCAAAATGCACAGCTTTATGGCATTTCTGGAACTCTACCGGACTTTATGTGGTGAGGGAGCATTAGGCATTGCACACCATGGCTGCAGCTGATGCCACACAGATGCCCACTTTTTTTTTTTAAAAGGAAGCACTTTGCAACGTACAGCTAGGGACACATATATCTTATACACCCTACATGGTATGTCCTTAATTGTATATAACGAGCCAGTTCTTACTTCATCCTTGTGCTATGCACCCCACCAACAGTTAGCTGCTTAGTGGGCTCGGTGCCATGTTTTCTTGAGTCCTGTAAGATCATCCGTCTGAACAAATTGCCAAGGAGGCCTAGGTCACTGGTCATGCGGAGACATGGCTGTTGTTTGTCATGTGTACGTGATTATTCTCACTTGTTTACAGGCTCTCCCTCTCTACCAGATAAGTATCGCCACTCTCGGGAGATGATGATGTTGCTGCCAACCCACCGGGACCGACCTAGCAGTGCCATGTATCCCGCAGCTATCATGGAAAATGGACAGGTAGCAGATCTAATTTCTTTTATGCTAGCTCAACCACCTGAAACTCTGACTTTACCTTTACTATTTTTGACCACTTTAAAGCTTCCCTTTTTATTTCTGGAAAGCACAACAACTTACTTAGGAACGTTTTCAAAGGCAATGCAGAACTTCTCATATTAATCGCCCCCTAGAGCCACCCACTCTGGTAGTCAAGTGACACAGATTGTGGTGGCTGTTCAAATTGCAGCTAGGCGCTGTGCACATGGACCCTTCTTACTTTGCAACTTTGTCCCGTGAGCCCTGGTCCACTGCAAGTAGTCAAACCATTTTATTTACTCATTTTTCTAGAACCATGGCCATCCTGCAGTCTAGCCTCCAAGTTGGTTCTAAATAGCTTTATGGTGATTTCCAGAGGTATCAAAAACCACAAAAGGTTGAAATAATATAGGGTATATATAAATATATACATAACACAGGCTCTGTAAACAGTCTGTGCCCGTATCTACTACTTTCTCTGGACAAATTGAAAAATTCAGGGTGTGCCTATGCATAAGCATTTTAACCTGGCCCTGGCCTGCACTTTTGATGGGAATCTCCTGGTCATGTCCACTTAACCGCACTTCAGTTCACCTCAGAGAACTGCCTCAGAGCATGCAAACTCAATTCTTTCAAACAAAACCAAAGCAAAAGGTGAGCTCCAGCAGGGCACATGACATTTGAGCTGATTATGGGCACAAGACCAGGCCAGAGCTGGTGTGAAATAACTCCTCCAGAGAACATAAGCAGCATGAATTGTGGGTCCTCAGCACTGTGACACTCTACTAGGATTGCACTTCAGTACTTGCTAACGTAGAGACAGCACAAGGTTCCCATGAATTTTTTAGTTAAAAAGCTGTCTTTAATTTAAAAAAGCAAATAGAAAGCCTCAAGGTTCTGTACCAGCTGTTCCGTAACTTTACTTTTCTGTGCTAACTATTCTTCTCCCTTAGCCTCCAAATTTCCAGCGCGCCTTGATCCAGCAAATGATTGGACCATGCAAACCTTGCAGTGATCCCAACCTGTCTGTGGCTGAGAAAGGTACTCTTTTTCCTAGTTAGCATGCATGCTTTCTAAAATATTATTACTCTGGTCATGCTACAGCAAGTAACGAATGGGCTTCTGCATTTCCTGGCAGAGTGCCCCCTCTCACATTTTTTTAATTAACAGTGTAATTAACTGGGCCTTCTGCCAACCTATAGTCATTTCAGATCATTCACAGAAGGGTGGAGTTGCACAAACCTCTCTATTTCAGAAAGCTTTCCAAGTTCAGCATTTTGTGGTTGAAACAAATCCTGTCATCTTTATCAAGCAAAACTTCAAAACAGCAAAAGAGAAGTTATCTGAAAGAAGAGTGCAAGATTTGGACCGTCTTTTTAAATAATGAGATATGCTGCTTTTTTATTTCAAAATATTAACATTTCTTGTAATCCCTCTCTGAAGTAGTTCCGTATTTAAGTTTATAATTAGGAATGTATGCTTATTTAACTCACTGCTTTGAAAAAAATAGGCAGAGCCCCTGCAGAAGAAAACATGAAAGAAGAGGAGGAGTTTGTTTGGCATAACAGAAAAGGAGGAGCTTGTGAAAGGGGTGCCATGGACAAAGCGATGGGCTCAAAAAATGACCTGAAAAAGCAGAAGCAGGCAAAATTCATGAGTCAAAATCTGAGACAAGGAGGCTGCCTAAGCAAGCAACAGTCGAGTATGGCTAGGAAAAATGGTACCTTGAAAGATTTTTAAGGCCAGGAAAGACCATCACAATTCTCTACTATGACCTACATAATGCACTCCATTAGATTTTTATCAGTATTTTTGTTTCGGTAGCTGTCCCTGAACTAAATTGTATCTTTTTGGAAAAAAAAAAATCCAAGTTTTATTTTAGAATTTCTAATAAATCAAAATACACTACTCCAGCAATGTGACAGCCTTACAGAGTGGTCCGGATTGAAACCAAAAGCCAATGTACAGTTCTGAATAAATGACAGAACGATGACCTGATGACAGTAACAAATGATGACAACAGAGAGTTAAGACTAGGAGGTGAGGAATTAAGAGCTCCGTCTTAGCCATGTTAGTTTGAACTGAACATATCACAGAGGTGGTGACATCCTTATACTGGACAGGAGAAAGCTCTGAAAAGGAAGGTAGATAAATATTTATTGCCTGTCTAGAAAAAATACTTCAATTTGTATTTGTGGGTCATACTATGCAAGAGTGTAGTATACAGCACAACAAGGGGATCAAAGACAGAATCCCCTCCAGAGGCCCAGAGGAGCCATGAAAGACACAGATGATGTTCAGTAATTGTTCTTAGGGGATGCTGTGACAGGAATCCCAGCTCTTCAGCCAGGTTGGTAGCATAAATACAGTTACAGATGTGTTTTGCAGCTCTTGAATCCTCATATTTCTTTGTAAGTCAGGACACCATCTGCCTTGGTTTTGTTAACAGTTAGGCGCCGTGAATTTACCCATCCCCTTCCTTGCTGTGTCACAAGCTCTGCTTGGTAATTCTCATTGACAGCAGCATGACATCAGTTGCCCAGAGCAGAATGGTTCAAGTGCAGCTTCCCTACTAATTAAACTTGGCCACCAAGCCACTGAACACTGTTCTGGAGAGAGAGGTGAGCTAGAGCAGAGCTCTTAAGAGCTCCCTGGGTATGTTCCTCCCCAAAGTGTTTTGGATAAAACACTAGGTTTAACAGGCAACAGACACTCACAAAAATCATCTGACCTCAGGATGATTTCCAGCATTCCTAAATATTCAAAAGGCCATGAATGAGGGAACACTGAGCAAATATAAATGGATTATGCACTGGGGTACCATGTTCTCTTTGCATCCTGCTACTGCATCTCGTTGTTTAAAAAAAAACAAAACTAAGCACAACAATCATTTTACAGGCCAAGCAGATCAGGTTTTATTCTGTCCTTTTCACTTGCTGCTGCTGTATTGCAGGAGAGATGAGCCTGGCTGGCACTGCTAGACATCTTGTCCCTCTTTTAGCCTTTTGACACCAACTGCAGTTGTGCAGATTAGAACACTTTGGTACATCTACAGGGTGCTCAAAAAATTCATCTGAAGACAATACCTGTGTTCAGATTGTAGCCCTTGTTCTGATCGTGTTCTCTATCAAGATTCTTCGTATCTTCTTTGTATGCCTTTCTCAGTTTGAAGGTGTCTTTTTAAAAACAACATTTATATTTTGTTCCATCTTAGGAAGTTGTCACTTTGTGATCTTTTTTTACTTTAGGGAATTTTAGGTCTTGGAGAGCCTGTGTTCATGCTAACTTAGGAACTAAGGAGGAAAACAAAACAAAACAAAGAAACCTTTCAAAGTCATTTTAGAAAAGAAATGCACCAAAAAGGGCTGCAGGCATTTTAATTAAGGAGAAAACCTTTTCAGATGTCAAACTCCATGTTTATTTCTCCAGGCTTCCATTTTCCAAACTGAAGATGGAAAAAGCTGGTTTTATCTCAGGTTTCTTTGGTAGGCTCACCAAATTACTTTGTTTTCCTTTTTTCTTCTCTTTGCTAATCTGAAGAAATTGCTTCTTACTTTTTAAATAAGCATACGCTTACCACATGTCTGTCTTCGCAGAATGAGTCAAATCTTGCAGTACTGGGAAGAAAGGAAGGTGCATTTTAGTAATGTTTAAAGTTGACAGAATTCTCAAGATCTTGAAAATGTTCATGGTAGAAAGCAGCAGCTTCTATTTCTATGAAAAAACAAAGTCACAAAGATCATGCTCTCTCTATCCTTCCTGATCAACGACGACTTCATCTCTTCAGGTAACGTTGCAATACAAGGAGTCTGAGCTGCTGTCTTTAAATATTTTGTGATCAAAATCTTTTTATCAACTCTGAAGCTTAGTAAATTGGGGCTTTAAAGTCTTGATTTCTTTTGTAGCTGATCAAGGTATAATTGCCCTCATGTCCTTTATTCAGTCTTACTTAGCTGCTGTAGTGCAGCAGCAGGCCTTCCTGTGTTTCATGAGGGTTCTGCCACACATTCCCTTCTGCTCCATCATCATTTACTGCCAAGCAGAACAGCTCAAACCTGTGCTCTAGCTGCCATTCCATCAGTGAGACTTCATTTTTGCTTACTCACTGGTTTGCAAAAAAATCAAGCAGTTCTACTGCTCTTCAGATTTGCTAGAAATGAGCCAAGGGGGTCATTGAGGGGAGATGGGCAGACTAACACTGTGATCACCTAACTCCTCCTTCCTTAACTTACACAACCTGTAAACTTAACACACTGTAGACTAGATGATGTCTTTGTATGCCTTCAATTCTACCATTCACTAAGTCCCTAGAATCTGTCTCTTTACTACTGAAGAGCACACCAGAAAGCCAGTCCTCCTGGCCCCAAGAACTCCCTGTTACGTTACCCAAGTTAAATCTGTTTCACTCCTTCAGCTGTGCCAGCAGCACCCAGCAGCTGGAGCCTAGACAGCGGAACCAGAGAGGCCCTGCCATTCCTGTCTGCCCACGTTGGGAGCATCTTGGCCCCACCAGTACCTCCCCGAAGCCTGCCCCATGGTAAGGAAATGCCCAGCAGGCCTGCTGCATAATGCCTGCAGTCATGCACAAACAAATCTACACCACCTGAAAGCTGACCTTAGCCTTTTTTTTGGCCTACAAAACCAATCAGAAACAAAAACCCAAAGTCTTTCCTGGTCTGCTAGGTTAGCACTGGACAAAGTTTTCAATTTTGTTTTTTTCCCCAAAAAATCTTTGAATTTTTTACAGTCCTTATAGTAATGGGGACTTGCGTGTACTTTGGGACTAGAATTAGGTGTGTGAGTGTTGAAGCTTGGCCTGGCTTCTTGCCTATGACCATCTTCAGCAGTAATTTAAGGTTACAAAGGGATTAAATGAAACTTCCCATGTTCATTGTTTATGAGCCTGTTGCCTTGCCATGAGATCCTTGATAACAGGGGTGGGTGGAAATCTATCACTGCACTTCACTTATCCTTAGCATTTTGTGATGTGAGGGATGCACTCCGTGTTATCTGTCAGAAAGGAAGCTCTAGGTTGGAGTGGAGTTATGAGCGGTTGGAGCTGTTACCTGGCATTATAGCGTCTAAAAACCCAGCTCTTTTGCTGCAGTGAGGCAGCACAAGTCTGCATTTCTGATCCTTGTCTCATTCCAGGACACTACTCACTGCACTTTGATGCCTTCCATCACCAGCTGAGTGATGCTCCTCCAGCGCTGCCTGCACGAACATTGCGCAAGGTAAAAAGGAAGTGGCAGGAAAGCAGAGAGGGATGTAGAAGGAAAATAACAGGCTCCTGAAGGAACCCCCCTCCTCTGCGCCCACCAAGCAGCTTTTGAATACAGACACACTGTTTTTAACATGCTGGTAACTTACACATGAGAAAGTCCACTGAAAGCTCGTACCTTATTCCGGAGTTGAATTCTATAGAAATAACTTACACCTGTTGTAGGCCCTTCCGCTTTCCTTCTTTGGATCACATGCTGTGATTTCAGGCACCCTGTTTATCACCTCAACTGCTGTTTCTTTAACAGCTCTGGTGGTGGTAAGTGCACTTGTCAATGATTATTGGTTTATATGTGCACTCCCCTGACTTGTATGTAACTACTACATCTTGTGGGCAGACACTTTGAACACAAATGGAACCACTGTTAACATCACTGTCAAAAGCTGAAATGTGGAACAACAGACAAGATGCAGTGTTGCCTCCTTTGTCAATTTTAACCTGGTTTTGTTTTTTTCTCTGAACAGTCCCCTCTTCATCCTATCCCTGCATCACCCACCAGTCCGCAGTCTGGTCTAGATGGAAGTAACTCCACTTTATCTGGCAGCGCCAGCAGCGGTGTCTCCTCCTTGAGCGAGAGTAATTTTGGACATTCTTCTGAACCACCTCCTCGCACAGACACCATGGATTCTGTCCCCAGCCAGGCCTGGAACACTGATGAAGATCTAGAGACACCCTACCTCCCTGTCAGGTACAGTCTCTCTGAGCCTGATGTCCTAGAGTCACTCAAATCCCAGCCATGCCGAAGCCACTCTGCTCCATCTGGAGTCATTCCTCAGGACACCATGGACCCTCCTGCTCTACCCCCCAAACCTTACCACTCCCGGCTGCCAAACATGGAGAACGAGGAGGGGTTGATAATTGAAGATGATGACAAACACCGCCCATTGCATCGTAAAGCGTCCCAACCAGTGAGTGGTGGAAAGGAAGAGCAGGCCAGGGTAGCATGGGAGCATGGCATCAGTGAGCAGTAGGGACTGCTGGTAAGCAGCTTGCATCATCATTCCAGGTCTGACTTACAAAGGAGAGAGATAAGGACTCGGAGAACAGCAAACCGATTTTCTACTGCCGCAAGTTTATGTCTGGAGCCCACAAAAGCAATTGGGCCAGCATGGGAGGTTGCTGCTTTCCTTTTTAATTTCTTTTTACACCTTTCAGTTATGTTTTTTAACTTTCTGTGCAGTGGACAGTTTATTCCTTCTGCAGTTTCTTAACCACATCAAATGGCACACTAGCCATAGAGACTCGCAGAAGCTGAAAAATACAATTTTAAGTGGAGGGGGAAAAAGGGGGGGAATGTGGCAAGTTGATTTTGAAACTGCTTTCCTCCCAGTTCTGAGACGCACATGAGTAGAAGCAGTTGCACTAGGGACATTTCTTTGCTGTACAGAAACGAAAGCTCATTGCGGAAATCAGGGATTCTATGAACTGTCAGGCTGAAAGGTGCATGAGCTGCAGGCAGTGGAAAGATGGCAATTCTAAGAAGAAATTGGCTCTTTTGAGAGCAGGATTGTACATATCTCTGCAGTGGTCTCCCTGCATTGGTTCAGAGGTGCTGAGGCAATCTAACCAGTGCTGATGCACTGATTTCCAAGATATCATTTCCAAAAACTCTGCCTCCTTTGTTTTTTATGTACTGTTTGATTTCTTAAATTTTGCTTTCACTGGCTAAACCAACCTGCTTTCTCATTGGAATCATACGCTATTCATCTGTGCTACAGGATGAGAGGAGGTTAGTAGCCATTGGAGATGCAACCCAATTGTAGGCCTTTCCCATGCCCAACTTTGGGCAGGCTGTTGACACCAGCATTTCTATTCCAGTTTAAAAAAAAAAAAAAAAAATCAAAAAAAACCAAACACACAACCAAATTGAGTTTTTCATGCCACAGCTGGTTGATGACCGAGCCAGTAAAGAAAAGGTGGCTTACATGCATCATATCCAACAATCCTTGCCTCAGGGCTGAACATCACAATTCTCACCATTTTCCATCATCCAGGAGCTGAGATTCATTCCCTCTTAACATATGATCCTCAGTCCCTTGCAAAAACTCACTGCAGCTGGTGTGCAGAAAGAATCTCCATCTCTCGCAGTAGACACACAACAATAAGAAGAAATGCCCAGTATAATAGTGTACACCCTAGAGTCGGGGATCTTAAAGGCAACCTGTAAAGAAGAAACGTTTGTTTCCTCTTTTGCTTCTTTAGAATGCATAAAGATGCTTTAAGAGCTGCATCCTCTCTCTTCTGGAAGGCTGATTTCTTTTTTCCTCAGGCAGCAATACAGCCTTCTTCCCCCATATCCCCAGCTTTTCTTTTTTTTTTTTTTAATTTTTTTTTTATAATTGACCCAGCTCCAGAAAGGGCTGAAGGAAAAAAAAAACAAACACAAACCAAAAACAAGAAACAGAACTATGCAGAGGTGAAGACAGTACAAGTCTATGAACACAAAACAAGCCTTTTAATTATTTGTTTAGTTCAGTACATGACAAATCATGGAAAAAAATCTGTGGGTAATAGAGCCAAGATCTGGTCTTTGTAAAGAACAGTAAGAAATATCTTCTTCCTATTTTCAATACTTTTCAAGAAACTTTCAAGCTAGAGAGTATCAAACATATAATGGTTTTAGATAAACAAGCAATGTTCCTTCCCCCCACCATGCCCACACACATTTTAGACTCCCTTATAAACCTGTCCCCCTGCAGACTGCAAAGCACACACCAGACGATGGTAACAGCCCACCCTCTTTCTTACCACTGAAAAATCTGAAGCACATTCCAAGAGACATACCTCCCCCATATAAATTAGCGTCAGAATTGGGAATAGCACTCAACTTTCATACTCAATTCTTGCCCTAACCACTCTGTTTCTCATGCTACAGACAGCACAAAGAAGCAAAAAAGGATATTATAAATAAATCTTTTACAGGTCACCTTTAGCACTACCTCTAAATACAGTGACTGGGCAGAGTACATTGCTTCTGAACTCTCCTAAAGACGGTCGGTCTGTACAAAGTCTGGACTCAGTGGTTGTATGAAGGGGATTTTAAGAGGATTTGATTCTTTTCTTTCTCAAGCTCTAGCCCATGCAAAACTACTAAGTTATGGATTTGTTTCTTAAATGGCCTATTTGGCTGGAACAAAGTCTCTCCTGCTTCCTCTATTTTGTTATTAACACAGGCTGCTTGTAATCATTCTATCCTTCACAATTAAGACAATGGTAGTACAACCTGGCCCATAGTGGACATTTCATCTCTAGCAGGAAGGAGAGGTTCCCCATACTAGGACAGTCCTAAATGTTAATGAACTAAGGCGGATCTCTGGTAGAACACACATACAAAAACTCAACTCAAAATTATGTTTTTGGTAAAGGTAAGTCAAGGTAATTCCTTAGAAATGAGTGAAATATTTTCACATATTCTATCCTCCAATCTGACTGAGATTCTTCAAGTGAAGTTTTTAAGAGAACTAAATACTCAACGCCATCTCCACTGCCCCTTTTTTTTTGGCAGGAAGACTAAAAGTGCTAAACGTAGTGACTTACTGAGCTTCCTTATTGCAAAAAGCAGCAGGTCTTGCAAATAAAACTTTGCAAAAACAAGAATGCAGCTACCATGGGACTAAGTCCCAGTCAGCTGGAAAACCTGCCCACTGGAGCTCTAATCAGTCTCTCAAAACTATCATCCTGCTCTGAGTAGAGATATCATACAACAGCAGTGAGTCCATTTGGGGAGTCTGACATTACTATGTATTTGTAAGGGTTTGAAGATCGATCAGATGATGTATACAAATACCCAGTTTATGGCAGATCCACACAGGGAAGGATGGAATAAATTGCTGAATTTACCAAATTTAAGCCTCTCTGGAGTTAAATTTCTGTTACTGTTCTGATACCTACCAAGTATTCTGTCTCCCTTTACAGTGCTTGCCTAAAAGGGGGCAGAAGATAGAAACACTATTATTAAGATTTTGTGAATGCTGGAATTAATACTTCTTGGAACTAATACTTCTCTGTAGGGTGGGGTGTCTTATAGCATAGTACAACTCCAACATCAAGCTCAGTCCTGGAGTAGGTGGAAGCAACAGCAGTTGTTGCACTTGCCCAGCAGGATTTGAAGATTCCTTGTATAAACCACAGCAACAGGATGTTTTGAACAGGACCTTGTCATTCTATATTTATCTCTAATTCAAACTTAATATGTACTTGCCTTCACTGGGTTTTCTTTGCGTAACAAAATCGCACGTGCATTCCTGAGAAAATTGGTGGAATTCTCCTACAAATCTCTCGTCGTCAGTGTACCTGCTGGCCCCATCTGAAACAAAATTGAGAAGGAACTACAGTAGTAGAAGAAAAGCAATTAAAACAATTTCTCTGAATCCTACTTTTTTTTTTTCCAATGGTTGGGTTGGTTTTGTTACTGTGTGCAAGACTAAGATTCTTTTCCTGGTTGCTTTTTAGCTTACTTACCCTTTTTTAGGTAAGGGATATTGCATATCCCTTCTGTGGGAGAATCAGCCAAAACTGGGGAGGCTGGAGAGAGCAAGAGCCTTTGGGAAACAAATTATGTGGTATTTAAAATTTCCTCTGATCATGCTTCTTTGTAAATACCCCCATTTGAATGCTGTGTATTTGTACAGGAAATTGAGCAAAAAATGTATAGATTGTGATGTCTGACTGGTATTCTGCCCTGTAAATGTGTTTTTAACCTCTGGCATTCTGTGCTTATTTAAAAAAGGCAAAAACCTCTAACCACTTCTCTTTTGTGTATTCATGTTTAAAATAAAATGAAAACAGCTATCTTATCTATAATGGAAATCAAATTTAAAAGGAAAAAAAATATTTGTACAAGTGTCCTAAAGGTACTTCATTGTATATATTGTGATAGCATGTTTCCAGAACCAACAAATAAGTGGTGTGAATTTTAGATGTAAATATCTGCCATTTGTTTTGGGTTTCTTTCCCTTACCCATTCACTCGACTGCTGTGATGTGGAATTAAAGATTAATACCTGATATTAAAACGGTACAGCTGTATGTTCATTGCTGTCCTCCAGACAGGGTGTTGTGATTTAACCCCAGCCAGCAACTAAGCACCACACAGCTGCTCGCTCACCACCCCGCTCCCCTTGCCCCCTCAGGTAGGATGGGGGAGAGAATCCCCCCAAAAAAGTAAAACCCTTGGGTTGAGATAAAGACAGTCTAATAGAACAGCAGAGGAGGAGAAAATAATTATGATGATAGAAGAATATACAAGTGCGCACAGTGCAATTGCTCACCACCTGCTGACCAATTCCCAGCCTGTCCGCCAGCAGCCATCAATGTCCCCTGGCCACCTCCCCCCAGTTTCTATACTGAGCATGACATCATGTGGTATAGAATAGCCCTGTGGCCAGTTGGGGTCAGCTGTCCCGGCTGTGCTCCCTGCCAGCTTCTTGTGCACCTGGCAGAGCACAGGAAGATGAGAAGGCCTTGACTGGTGTAAGCCTTGCTTAGCAACAACTAAAGCACCAATGCATTACCAATGCGCTCATACTAAATCAAAAACACAGGGATATGCTGGATACTAGGAAGAAAATTAACTCTACCCCAGCTAAAACCAGGACACAGGGTTATTCTCAGGCTGCACCAAATCTTCACGAGGGATGAGGAAACACTTGTGTGTGAGGAAAATTGGGGGGGGGATGGGGACAGGGAGGGGGTGGCAACCAAAAGGACCTTGTGACTATTACATGTGGTGAGGGAACAGCTTTCACATTATTCTCATAGCTGACAGTACACTATTTTATTTAATATCAACTTCCTAAAGAAAGCATCAGGCATATCAACCAGCTAGTCTAATCAGTTAGGTAGATTTATAGGACACACCCCAACAGTCTGACACACCCACGTCTCTATCACAACCTTTAATGCACAGTTTTGAGGCAATACTTTGAAAGCCCAACTGAATCTGTGAGTAGTTCCTCCAATATGTACCTCAC